GGTCCGTATATTTTCATTAAAAATAATAATTCATTCCTAATTTTTGTCATTTAATCTTTATTTTTCATGAAAAATAATAAATATACGGACCGAAATCAGTCCGAATATAAAAATGAAATTTCGTATTCTCTAATGGATATATACAGACCGAAGCCGGTCTGTATATATTTATTTAAATAATATTTTATTCATATTTTTTTGTATTTAATATTTATTTTTTTCAGAAATAATATTCGGATCGAAAACGGTCCGAATATTATTGGCGCGTCTATACTGTGGATTCCCGCCAGAAATATACGGACCGATAACGGTCCGAATATGTTCATTAGTATATTTTCTCCCACCTAAATATATTCAGACTGATATTGGTTCGAATATTTATTTTTTTCGAACCGACACTATTCGGTCCGTATATGGTCGGTCCGTATACGTCATTTTTCTAGTAGTGGTAATAAATTGGAATAAGCAAGGACTATGCATTGCTCTCTCTCTAAAATTATTGGTTATTCCTAATTTTTTTTAAAAAAAGTTTATTAATTTTATATTAATTTTAGAATTTGATCAAGTAACTTCATTCCCTTCAACTTAACTGTGTCCTCAGTATTTTTTTTTTTTTTTGGAAATTTTGGATTGTACCATACAGGTAAACTCCCTCACATCCCCTAACTTACTTTACTCATATATCTTATAATTTAAATTCATAATCTCTTATTTTTATTAAATAGAGATTATTGTTGAATTATTTAGATTGTTAGTGTTTACACCTAATTTTGCAACAAATAGGATGGTGCCATGTGTTATTCATGTAGGCAAGTATTTCATTGGTTGAAAGTTGTTGATGTAAATCTCTGCAGATAAGGTTCAGTGGTTATTTCCACAACGTCAACAAAGCTGTTTGCTTGTTGTGAACTTCCAAGAGCATAATCGGAAACACCTATGGATTGATTGATTTGTTGCATATTTCACGCTACCATTAGTTTTCAAGATGTTGCCATAGATCTCCAAACATGTTACCAAGGGGTGTTTACTGTTATAAGTACACAAAGAAGAAACAAAGCAAGATAGATTTGCCTCTCACACAACAAGCTCAACACAATTTTTTTTTATGCTCAAATTTATCTTAATTTCAAGCCCTTTAGTTTAGTTTTAGCTCTACGTTTCAGTCCAAATTAGTCTTCAACTTTAGTTTAATATCTTTTCCTTTAAATCCTAGAAATTAGCTGCAGTTATTTGATAAAGCAATTCAATTCCCTTTTTGTTGGTTTTATAATAATAAGATTCACTGCCTTTAGTGACATTTCTTGGTGATTAGATTGTTTTCTTTCCTTTATTGCTTTCCTAATTTCTTTTAATTTAATCAAGTGATGTCGATATTGAATTTTATGTTTTGTTCCATCTTTGTTGATTTATATTTCATGCTGCCAATAGATTTTTCACGTTTCCAATATCATTTATTTTAACTCAATTTATTTTTCTGCATTGAGATTTTCTTTTTAGAGCTCTATTTTAACTCAGTTTGCATTTTTAAGATTCATTTAGATTTTCGATAATTTGGTGATCATTGACTTTTTTTACAGTCTTAACTCAATTTTTTTTAGATTACACTAGTTTAGAGGAGTCCTTAGAATCATATTCAAGGCATTTTGTCATATAACTCATTTAATGCAGGAAGTTCATCTCTTGTTTCTACCAATCATTTGATTATTAAAACGCAATCCACGACATTCTTCTATCAACTCATGATTGAGTTCCATGTTTGGAAAGAAAAGAGGGTCGTCAGATAAATCTTTCTGGCATGCTGTTTTATTTGCTACGTGTCAAGGAGATTTTTTGAGATACCAATTAATAACATGTCTTTAGTGTTAGAAAATCTGAAAAAACACTCATTACATGGGCGTCATCAAGCATAACAAACCTCAAGTCAAAATGCATATAAATATTCATAATTATCAAACAAATTTAAAAAATAAGTTTTGTATCCAAGTGAAATAATTGAAGGCCAATGACTTGGACGCTTTAATGATAATCTCTCTTCTAAACAAAGTAAGAGAGTATATTTAAGTTACAAAACATGCAAATAACGTGAAAAAAAATTATTTTTTATTGTGTAATCTAATAAAAAAATAAAACAATTAAAAGGGCACTTCATTATTCTAAATAACTGTTTTTTTTTTTTTCAAATTATAGAAACATTTTATGTATTTACATATACTATTAGTCTTAGAAAAAAATATAAGGATAAAAGAGAAAAGTCAAAAGATAATGTGAATAATTAAAAATAAGGGCTAACAATAAGATTAAACTAGAAAAAAATATTTATTTTTTAAAAAAATAAAAAAAAAATTAGAACAAATTTTAAGTTTAAAAAATCGACAATTTATTCAGACCAGAAGAGTAAAAATAAGTATTTTATCTTGAGGAGAAAGATTTTGGCACCCGACTGTTTATCAAAAGAGAAATAATTCTAACAGGAAATTTTAAAACGAAATTTTGTAGTAAAATAATTTTATCCATCGCTCATATGGGCTTCCATAAGATCTACGTAGTTATTATATTATTATATTTTCTGCGTTGAAGGGTTCACTGTTAACTATTATAAAAATTTGAATATTTAAATTTGATCTTAAGTCGAGATTTGTAGAGCGTTTGGTTGAGGGAAATTTTATCCATAAATTTTTGTAAATTTTTCTCTTTATAAGATTATTTATCGAAATTTTTACCTATTAAGACTATAACAAAAATAAGTTAAAAATAACATTTTAATCATTTATTTTTTTCATATAATTTCAAACTCATAAAGTTTTTTTTTTTCACTTATTAATTTTTTTATATCAATTTCTTACTAAATATAACAAAATTAATAACGCAACAAACTTTTATTACAAAATTTAATAATTTTTGGTTCAACATCTTTAACTTTTTCATATAATACTTTTTAAAATACTTTCATAATAAAATAATTTTCCAACTAAATATATCCTTAAAATAGTAAATATCAACTTAACCAAAGGCTTCTTAACTTTACACCGTCATCATAGATCAGCATAAATTTGTCCTAAAGTTTCCTCCTAAATCATTTTTCTTCACCTAGAAAAATAGTGCAAAAAACTGTCACAATCAAAGAATGGCCCGGAATTTGGTTTAGCATTATGAACTAGTCTGTGCTAGCTACTTCCTAGCTTGCCTGCCCTAAGATATAGTTTTTTTTTTTTTTTTTTTTTTTACCCTAAGTAACAATTAATTTGATTATATCATTATTTTCTACTTTATATCCACAATCCCAAAACCTTTAGCTAAGCCTCAAAAGTATGGCCATCACAACCTCCTGTTTTTGGCACAATTATGAAAGAAAGGACAAAAGAGTTGCAAATAAATAATTCATTTAAAAAAAGCAATTTTATACAATGATTTTAATGATGCAAATAAATGAGTTATACATGTGTCATCAGATGTTTTAAAAAAAAATAGCAGAGTGTGACTTGTAAGAATACAAAGAGGTTGATTGCCCTAATTGGGTTTGTTTTCCTAATGAGAACATATTGGGCACGTGAGTATCATTAATTGTATTCCACAATCATATTCCCAACACAATATCCCATGTATTGATGAAGCATTGAGGTACATGGTTTTAATGTTAGGAATAACTGCAAAGAACCATTACCATATGCTGCAAAATAATTAGTACAATGCAATTGCAATCAATCTCCTTAATTCTCATATCAAATATATCAAATATTCATTGTTTTCTTATTACTACCAAAAGACTAAGTGAAATGAAAAGCCCACTCTCTAGACTCTAGAGTGGTGGACCACAACACCATTTATACCAAGCTTTCAAAGCCTAACACCCTTTTGCATTGTTTGAGAGAGAGAAAGAGAAAGGGAAAGCAGCAGTAAATAAATACGAGATAAATGAAGTCAATGCCCGAACCATACAGTTTTTCTTGCTGTCCTCTTGCAGATTAGAAGGAAAAGCAGCAGGATGGACACGTATGGTGCGTTCTTGACTCCCCCTTTTAGCACTGTTCACTCTTCCAAGCTAAATAAATGGCCTTGTAAATTGCTAAAAACCAAAGAAGAAAAACATTAGTTGGTGTAGATTGTTATGAAAGTAAATCATCAACCAGCAGCAGTCGCAACAGCAGAACGCAGTTAATAAGCAGCTTCAACTCTTGATCAGAAAGCATTCAAAGTCCCAACTAACCCCAATACTCCTCTTGCATTCAAATACCAACAGCACCAAGAGGCTCTGAATTTCTCTTAAAGATGGTGGAGAGAGAAGGCAAGAACAGTTGCGTTGCAGGAGTTTCTGTAGCAGATGATCATCAGGAACTAGGACAATTCAAAGCGCTCTTAATTTGCTGGACAGTGGTGCCGATAAGGTTATTAACAGTTGTCACCGACTCCAAGTTCAGCTTGGCGGAAGGCAAGCTGCTCACTAGTATCTGAAAAGCTACCGTAATTAGTGAACCACCAGATCTACCCATGTTAACATGTGCACTAGAGCTTGAAGATGCCCCATCTCCTTGGTCCAGACGCCCATCAGGTGATATTGTGAATCCTGATGGCAGAAGCGGAATGTAGGAAGGATCTTCTCCACTCATAGCTAAGTTGATGGCAGGCAAGTCAACTGGGCAATAAACCACCAGTGATCCAGAACTGTCTATGCAACTTTCTTGAAGTATTAACATGTTGTTCTGGCTAGTATTAAAGGCCTAGTATCAAAGTAGTCCATTGTTACCAAGTGTATCATGCAAAAATTTGTCAAGTACTTCATAACAGACTTTCATCAAAAAATGCTTCAAAAGAAAGTAGAATGAGTGGTCTTACACGAATAACAGATATGCAATTGCCAGGATGTGACCCATTAGCAATATGGGCAACCTCTTGCACTGCATTGCCGTTGGATAGAACGTCCCACTAAAGCAAAAAAACAAATGCAGAAACAATGTAAACAGACCTGAATAACTAAGAGCTGCAATGTTCTGATGTTAACATTGTATTTTCATGTTACAATGAGCATACCTGAGGTCGAGTTCTCTCATCCTTGAAGAAATTGAAGACATTCTGGGGAGAGACAGGAAGCCAGAAGGTAGTAGCTGCACTAAGAACTACACCATTGGGTTGACCAGGATCAGAACTCTTATGGACAGTGACTCGGACTCCAACTTCATTCATGCCAGAAAGTGTTGTCCATCGATGGCTGTTGGATGTGCTTATGCTGGTGCAGAAGTTGTTGACCATTCTCTGGGCAAGTTTCATCATGCTTCTCTTGCCATCAGCCGTTGGAATTACTGAAATAATTTCATGCAGTTATTCACAGCTTTAGCCTTTAGGAGAAGTAATATTAATATCTATATGGTGCTCAAATTACCTCCTCCAAGATCCCGCGTTGAAGTGCCTGAGACCATCAAACAAGCAAATCTTTCACACATTCTCTGAAGAGTAGAAAGCCATCGTTCTGCCCCAAATGCCAATCCACTGTGAATGAGATCTCTATAGAGCCTATGAGTTGGACTTTTATCCTCTATCTCCACATGCTCCACCCAAGTAACCTATTTAGGCAATTTTAGGTAAAGATGAGTGCAACAGCATTATTACTATACTACCTTTTACATAATGTGAAAATTGATAACAGAATAAAATCCATTAAATTGATTTGACAACCTTGGAGTACCCATTAGGCATGTCCTGAATCAAACATCCTGAAGGAAGCCTATGAGATCGACATTGAGAAGCAAACTCGGGGAATTCATAGGAAACATTCACTATTGCCCACAAGCCTGGCTCAATTTGCTGACAGTAACGGAGGATATAAAATTCCCTTGTAGCCACCAGCGGCGAAAGCACCTGCAATTCTTCATACATCTGACAAAAAAAAGGGTTTCATTTGAGATGATTCTCAATAGATAAGAACAGAAAATATTATCAATAAACATAACAGAAACCATATGCAGTTACCAATTGCAATGAACCACTATGACTGCCCCGCATTCCAGATGAAATTACTTCAATTGTTTTTCCCATTGACACGATTGTGGGAAACAACTCCACCCATTTGTTCTGCAAAATTTCAACCAATTATTACTCTGAAAACCACAGCCTGGCCTAGAGAAAATGGCAAGTTAAGAGGGAGCTTACAGAGTCCATAAACATGTCAACCAGTGCTAAACCATTCATGATGACAACTCCTGAGTACCGGGAGGCTTCAACACGAATATTGGGAGATTTTAGATGGCTATTAGGCCTTGGAAAAATCCTTTCATAGCTTTCGAGATCAAGAACATCTCTCCCATCTTCTCTAGACTTCATCCAAAAAGGTTCATTAGTCTGCAGGAGCCTGAGCAATTCTTCCATTGCATTTGCAGCAACTTGTGTCATAAGGGACTTATCCATGTCGGAAATAACTATTGGTGGGTATGGCAAATTGGGCATTGTTGACGAGCTTCCTGGAAGAAGATCAAGATCAAGGGATGGACCACCAATTCCTTGCCCACCAAAACTGCCCATCGTTAAATCCAGTGAAGAAATATGAATGGGTTGAACAGGTGGGAGTTGGGAAATCGGCCTCCCTATGTACTTGGCAGCGATGCTTGAAACTCTATCAAGCTACAAAGAAACAAAGCAGAAAGATGAAATCAACAAAACCCACAAAAATACAAACTCAGTAGAGAAAGAAGAGAACCAAGAAAAACCCAAACCTCTTCTTTGAGTTGAGCATTCTCCATCCGCAATTTCTGTTCATCGAAATAGGAATCCTCAGTGACCGGAGGGCCACCGCAAGAGGGACAGATTACGTTCTTGAGTGCTTCTCTGATGGCTATATTCTCACACCGGATCTTATCGTTCTCCGCCCGAAGAGCACAGTTATCGGCTCTCTCATGTTGTGCCTGAGTAGAATTGCAGAGAAGGAGAATTCAAAAGGAATGCAAAGAGAGAGAGAGAGAGAGAGAGAGAGAGAGAAAAAAAAGCTCCATTCTTTTTGGGTAAGACATTAAATTAAAGACAGAAAGAGGATGAAGAAGAAGAAACCTTCATCTGGGTCCTTCTGTTTTGAAACCAAAACTTGATCTGGCGTGGTGCCAATCCCAACTCCCTACTCAATTGCAACCTCTGCTTCTCATCTGGGTGCGGACACTCCTTGAACAATCTTCAGTATCCAAAACACAGAAACAAACACCATATGGTTACTCATTAATAAAAACCACAAATAAGGAAACCAAAACATGCAGAAAGAGAAAGAGAAGTACGATTCAAGGCGTTGAATCTGGTTAGCAGTATGGCGGTGGTATCGCTTCTTCCTCCTCTGTGGGTCGGAAGCATCGTGGTCCCCAGGGGAGCCTGACCCTCCTCCGCCTCCAAACTCCATCATGTATGGCGGCTAGGCAAGAAGGAGGGAGGGCATTAGAGAGTAGGAAGAACAAGTGTATTGGGGGGAAGAAGAAGAAGAAGAAGAAGAAGAAGAAGAAGAAGAAGAAGAGGGAGGAGAGGGCGTGGTGGGATTTTGAATGCGAATGGGCACTTTCATTGGGACAGAAGAAACGGCTGAAATTTCAAAGATTTAAGTGGCATGATTTTTGGTGAGAGACAGAGTGAGTGAGTTTAGGCACAAAAAGAGTTTTCTTATTACAGCATTTAAAAAAAAAAAAAAATTTTTGATCCTCCATTTTTTGGTATTAAGTGTCCTCCCCGCGTGCTATGAAGTTGTTTTCTCTAGGAGTGTTCCTGTGTTCTATAATAATTAATGTGTTTTTTATTTAAAATTTATATTTATACTAGAATAATATTAGTTTTTTTTTAATTTTAAAAGATATAAATATTTTTTAGTTTAATCTTATTATTATTTTTTGTTTTAATTATTTATTTTAT